TTAACTTTTGATTGACATACACGAACTAAAAACTGACTAGAGTTGGGCGTTCCCCAAGTACTATATTTTCGAAAATTTGGCATCAGATATTGCGAAGCTTGCTCCAGTTATACTTCCGGTTCCGAGAATTCACAGTGCCACATTGCAGTCAATTTGAATCCTTTCCCAGGTCCTTATATATATTTTTGGTAGTTTTCTGCTTCAAGCTGCTGTTATTGACGCTTCCACAGCCCGCCTCAATGGTACAAACTCTTACGTCAAAAACTCTGGCTACTCCTTAACGTAGCCAATGCGTTAGCGCATCAACGAGACATTTTGCATGCGGTCAAGCGTGCTGCGTGCTGGTCGAAAAGTTGCACTATTGCCATTTGTGGCATCTGAACTTCCAGCTGCGGCTGCAGCATATCTATTGCTCAGCTCAAACCCGCACAGAGTCGAACAGCGCCATCGTACGTGCACTTTACTTTGTGTTGAGTGCCTTTAATGTTGCCACAAATGCCATGCAACAATTATTTGCGAGTCAACAACAGCATAAAACTTTTGCAAGTTGTGCGCTTTGAATTTGTTGGCAATGTTGTTGCTTTCAATGTCTCGCCGCTGTGTGGGTGGAGTTGGCAGCACCATGAATTTGCGGTTGCACGCCTGATGAGGCCGCACGCCAGCGTGCTGAGTGTGCCTCGCTACGGCGGTGGATTGGTTGGTTGGTACGGTTCGGTCCAAAAAGTTGGCAATTTCAAATGCCATTTTAAATACTTTATAATACGTCGGTTGGGCCAACAAATACACAGCTGCATGGCGGGAACTTGCTCGAGTGCAACACTGCGTTTTACGTTTCAAGTGGTGTTTGTTGGCTACGAGTGCTTTGGCTGTGGCGCTTGCGACGTGTATAATACAGCTGCTTGACTCGATTGCTGGGCCGACTAAGTTTTCGCCAACTCGCACAAACTGCTTAAATTTGCAACAAGAAATGCGGTGGTGTAAAAAGAGTATTAAAGTAATATGAGAAGATTCTTTCAAGTGTGTTTAAATTGTGCATGTTACTGGACTTACTTGGCCGGCGAATTTGGCAAACAAGTTTTGCGGCGCAATAAATTGATTTTCACTCTTTTTTTCGGTGCCAGAAATGGCAAGTGGAGGGCAGTTACGGCGATTTCTGGGTCAACGAAAGGCGTTGAAATGTCAGCACTTGCTTGTCACAGCTACTAGATGGCGCTGCCAGGCAACAATTGCTATAAATTCAATATTCCCTATACATTTTTGGCGTTTTGTTCCCGACTGTTGCCGCAAGTATGGGCCTTTAACTACCAGGAGGGTAGTAGTCAGAAGGGTAGTCAAAGTGTTAAGATAAGTGCTATAAGGCGGCTGAGGCAACACCTTGCAGCCGCTGTTTATTAAATAGTCTTTAACCGGTCTTGCAAATTGAGGCCGAGTGTTGGCAAGATGAAAAATTATTGCCTTGTCTCTAGTCACAAATCCTGAGTATTTTTAATGGTTTCACACAGTTTTAGAAACTCATAATATAGCACGCGCTTCGTATCACACAAAATAAAAGGATCGCTCTAAATATTGCGCTCCGTCATGCATATGCGACCTTGCCGTTGATTTTGGACAGGGTTGTCGTAATGTATACATTTTCCATCACCAGTCACAATCCGATAAAGAAATCACTTCTTTTTGTAGCGCTTAAGTCCAAATAATTGCCACACTCGGTGCGCTAGTTGCCCAAATGGACACTCTATTATACAACATGCCACTTTCCGACAAGTTTTAAACTGTATTTCAAACTTATTTTTCGCATTTTCTTTAAATCTAATAACCTTCGCTTTCATTGCAGTTCGAATTCGCAAAGCCTTAACGTTCTAGCATTACCGCCATTTCCGCCGTTTCCTCGCCAATTGCCGTTCGCAACGACTGCTGTGCATTTAAATAAACTCGCACTTTCCACTAAGCACACTCGTATTCACAACGAAGCGAGTACGTTTGCAATAGTGGCTTTGCACGACGCTCTAACTGCATGCAGACCAACCAACGACAGGATGTGAATAGGATAATGGTATAAAGTTTTCAATAGAGTCGAAAAGCAACTTCCGTGAAGTCGAAAATAAAATAAATAGAAAGAAAAAATTGCACAAAAAGTGCAAAAAAAATCAAAAAAAAACATGCAAAATGAACTGCAGACAACAAAAATGGCGCGCAGATGGGAAAGCAACCCACTTTTGGTAAGCAAACAAGCAAAGGAAGCGCACAGCAGCAACTAGAATGTGGCACAGCTTACCGCTGCTAACTGTAAGCAGATAAAAAAGCAGGCATTGTGGCAATGGTAAACTAGCAATCGACAGGCGCTTAGAAGCTGGACGCCAGCGGTAACGCAGTTGAGGCAATAGAAAGCATACAGTGAGGATATAGAGAGAGGATTGACTGGCGAACAAAGACACAAATAACTGAAAGCGTGTAAAAGGCGAAAATAAAAGTAGTAAATAAAAATAAAATAAATGCAAAGAAGAAATAGGTAAACTGCGCATAAGCAATTGATCAGCTCGAGCAACACAACGAGGAAGCAGCGCCACTAAGCAAAGTGTGTCGTCCTCGCTGCTAGAACATGCTAAGCGATGTTTTGGTGCTGCTAGCGGCTGAACAACTCTAGCTGCATACGTGCTTGGTGCACAGCTCTCTAGCCCATACATGCACGCCATGCTGTTGTTATTATTTGTGGCATGTTATATTTTGTATTTGTGTTGCATGCGGCTGAGTGCAAAAGTTGCTGCGCCTATACATTGTAGATAACAAGCGCAAACTTTATTGACACGAGCAGCAATGTTTTTATTTCATGCTTCTGTTATTGCTATTGTCTTGCAGTAGCGCGTTTTTATTTTTGATTTAGTGGCTGTGAAGTTTTGAAATACCGTTAGTGTGTATTGAAATATAGTATGCGCGCGGTGGCTTGATATGCGAGACTAAACTGGTAGCTTAGTGGGTAGAGTGTGGAGAGAGTGGCTTGGTGTAGAGAAAAGTGTGCTAAATATTTCGTTCGTCGCAAAAAAGTGAGTCTGAAATTCTCCACAGGTTAACAAAAAAAATTTATATAGCAGAAAGTGTCTCGAACGTAACTAATTGTGTGAATTATGTGTTAGAGCTCAGAGCAAGCGTGAAGTACAATGAAATGAAATGAAAAGTGAAGCTAGTAGCCGCAGGCTTTAAAATGCAACACTGCAACGTATTAAATGCGACCAGCAGTAGCTTTGTAACTGTTATTCTTTGTATCATTTCAGCTCTTTCTTTAAAAAAGCAAAAAAAATATTTCATAACTAATTCAAATCGCTAATTTCTATGCTACATATATTCTATGCTAACTTTATTCCACCACCCACTGTCTTCGTGTACATTCCGCAATCGTTTGCACTCTTCCCTCGCACTTTGCTGCCCTGACTCAAGCACTGACATGTTTACCAAGTCAAACAACGAATCATAAAATAATTTTACACAAAACTTTTACTTGTTGGCATTTCAACAAACTTGCACAACAACAACAACAGCAAAGTGCAAAACATGTGCTTGAATGCAACATTGTTTCCGACACAAAAATGCCGAAGTGATGAAACACCAACAAGAAAGGCATAAGTTTCGTGCTAATGCATAACTGTAAATGTATGTCAAAAGCAAAAGTCTGAAGAACAGTTGAAGATAAATGACGCCGACAAAGAAAGCGCAAGAGTTGCGCACAAAAACTTCCAGCACACAACTAAAGTGAGGCAATAACTTTGCTTGATGCAAATTTAATTGCATAAAGCATAACTGTAGAATGTGTGAGATTGTGTGCGAGTGCAAAGTTTTTAAAATTTTTGGTATATGCAAGAAAGTTGTGCAAGAATTAAACAAAATCAAACTGTAATTTACGCAAGCCTAATCTGAAGGGCTGGGTTGCAAAATAATGGGTGTACTTTGGTCTGGATGGCTGTACCGGCGTCTGGCTAGATTTTAGGGTGCAATTGGTATATATTTACGTCTAGAGTGTCTAGTGCAGTGTTCAGAAATTTTTCGTCGAGTTAGAAGGTTCTTCAGGTAGTTGCTGCGTCTTCTCTGCAGCGCTAGATACAGCCTTATATCTGCAGATATCTTAGCCTAAGTTTTTCTCTTCGGCGAGTTTGCAGTAAAACTCATAAAATCCAAGACAAAAGCGGAATGTCAGAGATTGAATTCGAAGCTCTTCGAATACCATCCAAAAGCTATAAAATAAAAAGTCCTTTTTGACCAAAAAAGTACTTTAGAATGTGGTCGTATAGTCAACATGAGCGTGAAGTGAAAGCTTCTTAGGATTCTTATTTGTGAAGAAAAATTACTGAGAAGAAACTTAAGTGAAGGAGAACCTTATGGCACTAAAATTTTTAACAAGCAGCTCTAATATTTTGAGTCTTCTAGGGCAACTAAGTTGTGACTACTTCATTCATAGACTCTTGCACTCATAAAACCGAAGGAGCAAAGCAAGAAAAGCCTTTATATATTAAGTGGTCGATACGAAGTTCTAGTCAAAAAAGCGTATACAAAAAAGCGCAATAAACAAAATATTTCGTTCTCACGGCAAGAGCAACTCCTCGACTCGACGGCTCGATCTGCATCTTCATAATATTTATGAGGCTCATGCCACTATCGTCTGATATTAAGAATTCTAAGCAATTTTGAAAAGAAAAATTTTAACTCGATTTTGATGCGGGTTTCTAAGCTCACATTTTAAAACATTTTGTGATATTATGCAATAATTATTTTTGGTAACTTACGACACTATATACGAGTACTCGGGTGTGAGTATGGTCTTGGAATAAATCTAGTAGCCTAGATAGCTGACACTCTGAAGTTCTGTTATGTTTTTCGCCTCCGAATTTTATTTGTAAAGGTTTACGTCTATATCTCATGAAATTTTTATAGCGTTAAGACTAGGAAGTGCTAATATTATTTATGATTCTATGCTAGTAAGCTGACTGTAATATAAGTAGATTGACACTTACCTCTTATAAAGGCAGTAGATGATGTTCTTCCGCAAATTCTGCAATTAAATAAAATAGAAAAAAAAAAACAGATTACTTTTATGACTCTTATCTACATAAAACTAATTGAAATGTCTTAATCTATAGCGAGTTTGTTGCTTTTCGGCTGTTCAGGTTAAAATTGTTAGCCTTGTCGACGCTAAAGCAAAAACAAGTTTCAAGACACCGTGTGAGTGCGTTAAACCGTAATAAAATGTTTATGAACTTTCCATGTATGAATGAGTTTCGTGACAGATAATAACAAATTAAGATTGTGAAAAAAAAACAAAAATTCAAACAAGTATAGATAAACAAGCCAATGCAAAAGCAATGATAGCGAAAGTTTCCACGGCCGGCGCATAAATGACAGCTGCCAAAATACCAAAAACAAAAAACAAAAAACAAAAAAACCAAAAACATGAAAATAAAATTAAATAGAAACCAGCGAAAAACGGCTGCACGAAAAAGTAAAAACAAACTCGTTTTCTATTGGCAGCCAACGCGCCACAGCAACAGCTGCCACAAACGGCGACAATTGCCGCATTAAACCACTTTCATTTATGCATTAGTGACGACGGCACAGTCTGATTAAGCCGAAAGTGGTTTGTGATTTATGAAATTAAACGGACAAAGCGTTGCAAAACAGTTAATAACTTTGGCTAATGCTGTAAACTTGAAAAGCATAAACTTAAATGCTTTCGTAAATAGTTACCTATAGGCTTACAAGACTAGGTAACGTCACACTTATATGCTTATAAACTTAAGCACTTATAAACTTACTTATTTAGTATATGTATGTATATTTATGCAGTACTTAGTTATGTGCTAAGTTCATGAGTATGTTGCGTTCTCATATAAAAACTTGAACTTGCATACTTATGAACTTTTAAAGTAATATAATTAGTTAATTATATATTGAAATGCTTATATGGTTAAACAACTATTTGTATAGTGATCCGATCTGAACAATTTCTACGGAGATTATAGCTCTTTTTTGGTTAATAATCAATGCTAATTTTCGTGTTGATATCTTTTCAAATAAAAAAGTTTTTAACACAATAACTTGATAGGGTGCGTTCAGTTTGTATGACAGCTATAAGGTATAGTGGTGCGATATCGGCGGCTCCGACAAATAATCAGCTTCTTGGATAGAAAAACGCTTGCACAAAATTTCAGATCGATATCTTAAAAACTGAGACACAGAGGCACATGGCTAACTCGACTAAATTCCTCGCTGATCCTTAATATATATATTTTATAGCAAATATTTTCAAACAAACTTCGTCGCAAACTTAATATATTCTGTTCAGGGTATACAAAAGGCTTTGCATTTCCATTTTCATAGACACTTGCATAGTTAAGAAATCACTTACTTGCAAACCTACAAGTTTAAGCATTTCTTAACTTTTGTTGTAGCTTGGAAATTAATGTCATTGGATGCTAATTTGCACATGCACTTAGAGCAATACAAACTTATATGCATAAAAACATATTAACGCCAAAGAAACGAAAAAAAAAATTTAACAAATATATGCGTATATATACGTATAAAATTTATTAGAAAATAAACAATAAACTTAGCTATTTGCACAACATAAAAAGGCGTCGCGCTTGTCGCTAGTCGTAAAAAGTGATTGCTGTTGTCCGCGATGACTCTTCTTATTACAATTTTATTATTTTGGATGTGCATTATAAAAAATGCCGCCGACCTTCTGGCGCGCTGCTTTGCAACCCGAAAAATGGCGCTTGGCTTTACGCGCGGCGCGCACCCGACGCGTTTGACACGCTGCATATCAAATTCCAACATTGCGCGTATTATGGCGCGGCCGCTGCGAGCTGCTGCCCAAATATATTGTAATTTATAGCGCGGCTAGCTATGATTCAAGTAAACGCCAGGCACGTCTCGCAGATATAGACACACAAACACTTGTTGCCAAGCATTTTTTTCTAATTTTTTTTGTTTTGTAATTTTGAGTGGCGGCGCGTTCTTTTTTCATATTTTTTTTTTGTAATTTTGCACTAAAAGCAGGCGCCGTCGCCAAACTAGACGAGCGCTTGTGTGGCGTCGCGCACAAAATAAATTTTCTATGTTGCTGCGTGGCTTTTAGTGTAATTAATGCAAATAAATATAATAAACAAATGAAGCGTCTACGCATGGCTGGCGGCGCGGCGAACAGCGTTACTAGCAGTAGCAGCGTCAGCAGTGCCAACACCAACGTCGTACTTGTTAACTTCATGCGTTAATTATCATTATCATTAGCGCATAGCTGATCATCAACCGCAGCTCACACAGCACTAACACCATCAGCTTATTCATCATCAGCGTTAGCTTCTGACTGTTGAAGAGGTAATTGAACCGTGTCTAACCTTGACTTAGGCGCTGCTCAAGTGCGCTTTATGGCGACTTTGACTTTGTGTTCGCTCGCGGCGTCAGCTGTTGCAAGGAAATTTTTGTTTTTTTGTTTGCTTACGTGGCTGATTGTTTTTTTTTGCTTCTGTGTGCTTGGCGCTGTTCAAGTGCGTAATTGTGAACAGCTGTTGCTATTGCTGTTGTTGTTGTTGCAATTAGCGTTGTTTATGTTTGTACAAGGTGCCATAGCACTTTGGGCGATTGTGTATGCTTTTGAACTTGAAAATTGCTTGACCACTTTTTTCGGCGCGAGTGTGGCGATAAATCGCTTTAAGGTGCTTGGTATTTTTGTAAACCACTCATGGGATTTTAAATGCTTTGAATGGATGTAGTGGTGTTAGAAATTGCGTCGTGGTCAATGTGTTTGAATGGATGGATGAGGAGGAGTAGATAAGAGGTTTTGAGTAGATGATGTACTCATGAAGAAGCCCTGAAGAAGTAGAAGCTACACAATTTAGTTTAAGCAAAGAAAATGGAGGCGGAAAGACAGTGTTTCTAGAGGATAACCAAATTATTCAAAGTTCCTTGTTCGAAATGCCTGTAATCACAGCTCTTACATCGCTTCCAAAATCAATCAAGCCGCACGACATCGTCGCTGTATCGGCTAGTGATACACGCTTGATTGGCTGCTTATGCTACAGTCTCATAAGATATCAGAGGTCCGAGTTACAGTCTCTCACCGGTTATACCGTGTCTAACCGGATAACGTATAGTTGATTTTCGTGGAAACGAGTCTCTGCTTGTGTATCTCTGTTGTCTGATTCAAACTCGTATTCCAGAGCTCTCGGAGCTCAAAAGCTCACGACGTTTTGAATAAATTGACAACAAGGTTTTGCAGACTTTACCTTTTTACCAAATTTTGTTCAAGTTTTGATAGCTTATGAAACAAACAGCCTACATATGAGACAAGCCCAAAGCTCTAAGTAAAACTAGTCTAGTAGATTACGCGCTTCCGTTTTGTATTTTCGATCAAATTAGTATCAAGTCGTTCCCAACTTCAAAAGTAACTATTCTTAAGCAGCTGTAAGCAACTACTGCAGACATAGACTCTATTAGAGCATCAAGGCGCTGGAAGAGCAGCTAATTACTTCTACAACTTAATCGGCATCACTTTTTGCAACGGCGGCTGTAAAACTGCTCAGCCTATTCGTAATCCGTTACTTCCTCTAAATTCTTTACACGTCGCAACAGGTTAATCCGTAGCGCCGACGGACAATCATTACCCTACTTCATTATCTGCACTTTATTATTCTCCATTAACCCCAAACTGTCTTCTCGCAGGCACTTTCTGACAGCTCCATTAGCTGCCGCAGATCTAGATATACGCGCTGCCGCACCTAAAAGGAAAAGAACAAGCGCGTAAAGCGGAATAACACAAAGCTGTTAAGCGCAAGATCGTCAATCATTCGCTGAATCACTAGGCAAGTGTAAGGCGACGTAGTCGACCGACAACACATGAACTTCCCACGCCAGCCAGCTCTTTCAACTCCCCTCACATTAATTACTTAATTACAATTTCCTTTCAGAATTGTGCGCAAACAAAATCTAACTTAATCTACGGCGGATGTTCTACCTGTTGGACGGCGATGTGGCGCGCAGCCACTGCAAGCCCAGCGCAATCTTTTTGCAATTTGTCATAATTTTATATGCGTATCGACAAAACCAGCCGAGCTGACTGACCGACTGGGCCGAGCTGGCCGTCCATACGCTCACTCAAAGGCTGAATGAAAATCGCATGAACGCACAAGTAAGCAAAGTAAGACGCGAACTGGCGGCGGTGCGGCGGGCTATCCAGCAGGTAGTCAGCCTGTTGGCGCTAGAAAGTTGCGCGTGAAATGCTATTGACCTCAGCAGCAGTAATGAATGACAGTGTAGCGTTGTAAAGATTAATGGCACAGCTGTTTGCCGTGCGCGCTGCCACTTTAATTGGTCCATAATTGCGGTAATACGCAACGATATGCGCGAATTTGTGGTAGCAGCTGTAATTTCGACTTTAAAGCGGTAGTTTTTTAGGTGAAAAATGTGAGACGTTTAATTCGTAGCTGCCGTATGGAGTTTGAGCAGTGTCGGCGCAATATTTATTTTTATTATAATAGCAAAATGACAGCGCTGGCAATAGCAGCATCGTTGGAAATGCCAACGACCAGGCGCAGCCTGTAAAAAGCGTGGATTTGCAGATCGCAATGGGAGCACCGAACAAATCAACGGCTAATTTGGCATACGTTTGAGGTGCGCCTTGGAATTTCTAGTTTTGCAGCTTCGAGTCAAATAAAAAAGTAAAAAATGTGGCGCATATACCAGAAGCTGGTGGCGACAAGCGCACATTTTCACCGCTTACTTCAGATCACAAACAGGCTGCTGCTACTTAGCGTTCATATACACGTTTATTGGCCCGCATGTAGGCTGCTTGTGGCACTAAAAAAAACGCTGACAATTTAAGCACGAGCTGGTGTGCATTAGAAGCTGTAGCAGCACACAGAAACCGGCTTGACGTGTTGTCGCTGTTCAAGAAAAGTTGAAATGTTAGATGCAGGCGTGGTTGTATGTGTGGAAAATGCGCAACAACTAATAGCACGAAACCTCAACTGAAGAAATAATGTGGTAAAATGA